ATTGCAGGACCTTCTCATACTTCTTATAAAGAGTAAACTGATAAAACTCTTTAAATGGCAATTTGGTAATATTTATCTTTTTAAAACTTTTATTTATTCTAGTTCATCTTCACTGGAGTATATTTTTTCCATTGCTTTTTTTTAATTTAAATTAAATTTTAAAAAGCAGTCATTCCATTTAAATTTTCCAACAACCTTATTAGAAGTTATCGCGGTTATTATTATTATTAACGAAATGAGCACTTTCATTAGAAGTTATTATAGTACGATCCCAAGGGGTAGCTTGCAAATTGTTGAAACAAGAAATGCTGACTCCTCCAATCCATGTGCTAAGATAGAAGGAAACAAGAAGTTGTGTACGGAGAACACCGATGGGCCCTGCGCCAAAGTGGGGAGTGAAGGGAGAACATGACTCTGAGAGAGTTCTGAAGACTGGGAGCCAGTTAGCCTGCCGGGAAGAATTCTTGGAAAAGAAAATGATTGTGCAAAGCAAAGAGGCGAGGAAGGCTCTGGCAAATGGTTTAAAGAGACTAGAGTGAAGCCTTGGTCAGGGAGGGCTATAACTAAATAAGGGCATGGAAATGTCAAGGTCAGAAACGAAAAGCTCTGGGAAGGCACAAAACAAACCGCTCAGATGGGAGTGCCTCAGGCCACCCCCAAGCCTTTTCTCCCCGGCTTGCCTCCACTCGAGAGCATGTTCTTTCAGCTCCAGCACTATTGATACCTTTAACCAGTTAATGCTTTGGTGTAGGGGGTTGTTAAGTGTTTCGATACCTGCTAGATATCAGTGGCAGCCATCCCTCCCCGCTCCAGTTGTGACAACCTAGAATCCCACCAGAGGGCAAAATCACCCCTGGTTGTGAACCACGGGTTCAGAGGTTAAAAAAGTGAAAGTTCTCATTTTTCCTGCCTCTCTTGCAGCTAGAGATGGCCATGTGACACAGTTCCTGCCAATGAAATATGAGAGCAGATCGACTGGAACATACTTGCTTTTACTGCCTTCTTTTGCTCTTGAATGAAGACAACAGCAGCAGCAGCAGCAGCCACTTTGCAGCCACGAGATGACACACATAAAAGAAAGACCGTGAAAATCACACTGAAGTTCATCCCTACATAGTTGAGTCCGTGGACGAATGCTAGCAAGCACCTACCTCCAGACTTCTTGTTTTGTGGGTAAGATAACGCCTGTGCGTTTAGGCCCCCAAGTTAAGGTTTTCTATTATATGCAGCTGAAAACAATTCTATAATTGTGAAATCACACAAAAGTTTTTGGGTTTTATCGCAGATATAGTGAGGATCCACTAAAGGTTTCTAAATAATAGAAAGAATTGGGTCATCACACCTACATCTTGAAAAGATCATTTCGCTACAAAATACAATTATGAAGCAAGATTGGAGGCAGGTGACCTAGGAAATGCCATTCTGGCCAGGCAGACAAAAACACGATGGGGACTGAACCATCTCAGCAGTGGTGAGAATAAAGTGGAGAGGATACATTCCAGAAACATTAAGCGGCAAAATAGACCAACCCTAAGCAATTGGACATAGATAGGCAGTGAAGAAGACGTATCAAAGGCTAAAAATTATATTTGTTGTTAGGTAATGCCCTAGATGGTACACAAAAGAAGGAACATGTTTAAAGAGAAGAACAATATTCCATTCTAGCTAGTTTGAATTTCAAACGCTTATGGCACATCCAACTGGTAATGTAAATGGCATTTAGATACACAATTTGAAAGTCAGGAAAGAGAAAGATAGCAGTAATTTTAAAAATATGTGTATGATAGAACTCAAAAATTTAAGTGCCAATAAAGTAATATCACTTAGGACTTAAGTAGTATCAATGAAGTATAGGATACTTAAAATATAGCTCAGAAAAGAAAATGAAAAATACACAGACAGATACTCACACAAACCCAGCATCCAGGTATAATTTACAGTAAAATGTGGTTACATATACATGTAAACACACACACATAAATGGTATTATACCTCAAATGCTGAATAACAGGCTTTATTCAGTTAACAACGTATCATAAACATCTTTCTACTTCCGTTAATATTCACTCAATTTTCTGATGTTTTTAATACTATAAACAGTTCTGAGATCAACTGTCCTCATGATAAAATTTTTACCCATATTCCTAATTATTTCCTCAGGATAAGTTCTGAGATGTGGAATTGCTTGCTCTATGGTATACGTGTTTTTAAGGCTTTCTTTTGACAGATTCTCCTAAGCCATTCTCTAGACAGGTTATAGCAATTTACAATCCCATCAGCACTACATACGAGTACTCATCTCCCCACACTTTTCCCCAAAAAAGAAGTTAAATACTTAATCACTCAAATCTTTGAAAAATTTGTAAAATAAAATGTTAATCTGATTGATGTTTTCCTTCTGCATTTGTTTAAGTGCTAGAATTTGAGCTGTTGGTGTTTTATTGGCCATTTGTATTTTTTCTTTGGTAGACTGCTGTTTCTTGTCCTTTGTCCCCTTTCCTTTTGGTATATTTACCTCTTATTGATTTGTAAGAGCTCTTTATATGCTAGAAACTTTAACCCTTTGTCAATGCTACCTTTCTTAGTTTGCATTTGCATTTAATTTGAGGGTTTGTTTTCATCAGCAGATACTTGAAAGTATTGGAATGTTCATGGTTTTGAATTGGCTATTGTGAAGAATGGGAACAGGATGTATCCAAAAGCAACAGAGAGACTGAAGCCGATTTGAAAGGCTCAGCTGAGGTTGGACATCATGCATTTTTAATGAGGTCAGTCTGCAAAGCTGGACCAGCGTTTGGTTATCTGAGTGCAGAGGGAGAAAGTAAGATTCACGCAAAGTTTGTATTTGCTTGATTTAATCAGACCCTGCACTAAGGAATGAGGGAATTATGCGTATGAGCAAGTTTGTTGCTGAAATAATGGATCACATGGGGCAAGATAAGAGATAACAGAAGTGCTGGGAAGGGTCAGGGCTGCCCTGTAGTTGAAAGCCAGACACAGCAGAATGAGATCCTGAGAAAGCTACAAGGTAGGAAATGTTCTACAATTTCTTTCCAGCAAACTTTTCCTATTGCTTCTGCTCCATTTATTCTCTTTCTTCTTTTAAAACAACCATGTATTTGTATCCATCACATTTACCATCACATTTTACAGTTTCTTTATTCATTTCCTTCACAGTCAGGCAGTGTTCCCCATCAAAATCAGAATCGATGTTCACCCATCGCATCTATTGATTGGACTGAGCACATTTTATTTCAGTCAATCAATGTTCCATGGCCCTGCATCCTCTTTTTATCTTAGCCCATACTTACTTAATAGAAGCATTGTCTTCCTGCCTCGCAAGCAATATTTAATTCCAGAATATAGGGTGGGAAGGAGAAAAGTTGAAAGAGAGCAAAACAGGGCTGAGCATCCTTTCAGCCTTAATAAGATCACAAGACACCCGGTAAACACCAAGCCATTCAATGAGTTACCACGCTCGGTGGTCACAGCTCAGGGTCATGCTGGCCAACATGGAAGGCTGCCAGGAACCTCCTGTGCCGAGAGGAGTTCCAAAGTCCAGCACCCTGCTTGCTCTCACCGGAGGTATTTTCTGATTTGCAAGTGTCCTTTGAGGCTTTGAAAACTCCAGACCCTCTCTGACAAACACTTCATTTCGGGGGAGTCTTCACTATAGAGTTGAGGAACCATATGCAAGTGTTTGTTAAAACATCATACCAGAGTTTCAAACATCGCTTTTCCAGCCCCAGTGTCCTCTTTCCCAAAATAACCTGGAAGCAAGAGCAAAGCTGGGATTCCTCTTGTGGTGGGTGCCAGGGAAGGGAGGCCCCAGGCACTGAGCTTCCTTCCCGAGGGAAGCAAGGAGCTGATTGAGGGCCCAGGTCTTTGCTGATCTTTAGGGAGAAGCCTAAACTCGAGGCACATGCAGGCTACTTGTTGCATCTTGTGAAACAGAAAGGGGCCAGCCCGGTAAGCCCCGAGAAGCCCTCCTTTCTAAAACCAGGTTGCACGTCATCCAAGATCATCTCACAAAGAGAAACCACAAGCTTCCCTTATCCTCAACCCTGCTCCCAGTTTCCATTGTAAGTAGAAATGTCAGGCTTTGTGTCTGAACTCTGAAGTCCCCACATATCAACCTTGGTTAGAGAACTAGAAAGCAAAACCGGTCCTTGCCTGGAGGATACCAGTTATAGGAGTCCAGTCCCTTTCCTTCTGTACAACATCCAGAGACTGCAGGTGAAGCAAAACGAAGTAAAAACAAACCAGCAAACAATTAAAAAAACGTACTCAAGCAGTAGAAAATCCGTTTGATCATTCAAACCAGTAAGCATTTTCATGTATTTTTTTTTCCTAAATTTCAGCTTGATTTGGGTATATTTCACCGTATTTTTAAATGACTCCAGATGAAGAGCATCTGTTCCCAAGAAATGGTCTTGAGGAGAAAGTCAGCCATCCTCCGAAAAGAGCACAACTTTGACCTGGAGATGGGACAGATGGCAGGCTCTCCCAGATCCACACACCTTCTGTCTCCGTGTCTCCCAGGTTACGAAACACCTCCCACAGCCCTGGAATGCAGGACACATGTGCACACACACACACACACACACACATACGCACATGCACATGCATATGCACATGCACATGCACACTGGGTGGGGTTGAGAACCACTGCACAGAAATGGCCAGGCTGAGGATACTTCATCCGGGTCTTTCCCATCAGAGTTAAATGCAAAGGATGCACACAATAGCCCCAAGCACCTTCATTCACTCTTTTAAGCCCAAAAGGAAACCAAACATTTACAGCAAGAGAAGCTCTTCTCCACCTCCCCAGCTGCCCAATTAGAGAACGCCACACTTCATTCTCAAACCGGAAGACCTTGCATCTCAAAACTCAGTGCAGTAGAGGCCCTCTGCTCCCATGGCACAGCCTTTCTCTCCTGCACGCGCCCTGGCCCCAGCCCCAGGCCTCAGCTCCAGCCCCGCTGAGCCCGGAGAGCTACCTGAGACGAAGGAGAAGGTGGCCAGGATGCTGCTGAGCAGAGCCATGTCCATGCGCTGGGCGGTCAGAGGCTCCGTGCTGCGGAGGACGGGCGGCCTCCACGTGGCATCCAGAGGCGCCTCCCAGGGAGGCTTCGGCTGGATCAGTGTGGTCCCTCCCTCTCTTCTCTTCTGTTTGGGAACACAAAGTGAGTGGTGAGAGCACGCTCCGCTTTCTTGAGGCTGTGCTCCAGGTAGCCTGGGCCCCACACAAAGAGCTAGCCTCCTCAATGCCAGCCAGCCTCCCACCAGGCATCTAGGCCCTGTCCTCTTTGCTCTGGAGAGCTTCTTCGTTTTCCAGGAAGGAACGCCTCCTTCCACCTCTGTTTTTCCTGGCCTCTCTCCTTTCTCTTCCCTGTATCTTCCCAACGTTACATGTCCGCACTCCTCCCTCACCCTTTCGGGTACTTTTTACTGTATTCTCCCTGTTTGCCTTTGCCCACGGTCACTTTAATCACTGCCCTGTCACCCTATGCCCAGCTGGCCCTCCGCCTGACTCTGCTTCCCCGCACCCCCGGCACCTGTGTACTTTGACCCGCTTGCCTCATCCCACAGATCACCAAGTGAGTGTCCTTGGCACTGAGTCTGAGCTGGCTGCTCCAGGCCTGCTGAAGTGGTTCCCGTTCTAAAATGCACCAAGAAGTTGGGAGCTAGGGCCCGCCCACGTGTTCATGATTCCACCTGTAGTGGGACGAGGCTATTTCAGATCCTTTCCCTCCTCATTCATTCTCCGTAGAACAAATCTCATCATTTCATTTCTGAGAGTTGTGCACCCATCTCCTCCCTTTGGCCAACACCTACTTCCTACTCAAACTAGCACCCACTCTCACCAACAGGGTCATTCTTGATACTGTGTAAATCTGACCACTTCGCTCCATAGCCCAACCCTTTAAGGAATCCCCGTTACACTTAATACAGCACACACCCACTTCCACACAAAATCTGATCCTTACCTCAGCTCCCAATTCATCTCCTAACCAGAGTCTACAGCTACACACATATATTCAGAGACACAAGCATGCCTAATGCTTCAAAAATATCATGTTTTTTAGTGCCCCAAATACATCAAGCCCTCTTATTTTTTTTAAGCATTTGATTGTGCTCTTCCTTTGGCCTAAAATGCCCACCTCCCCTGTCTGGCAAATGTTTCCTTTAAGAGAGAATTCAAAAGTTCTGTGGCAGTCCCCAAATACCAATGACTTCTTTTGCAGAAATAGAAAAGTCTATACTAAAATTCACATGGAGTCTCAAGGAATCCCAAATAGAAAAATGATATTGAAAAAGAACTAAGTTATATAAGTCTCACACTTCCTGATCAAAACTTACTTCAAAGCTATAGTAATCAAAACAGTGTAGTACTGGTATAGACAGACATATGGTTCAATGGAATAGAATAAAAAGCCCCGAAATAAACCCTTACATATGTGGTCAAGGGACTTTCAACAATGTGCCAAGACCATTCAATAAAGAAAAAAGTATTTTCAACAAACGGTGTTGAGAAAATTGGGTATCCACATGCAAAAGAATAAAGTTGAATCTTACCTTACTTAAAAATTAACTAAAAATGTATCAAGAACCTAAACGTAAGAACTAAAACTATAAAACTCTTAGAAGAAAATAGCCCAGCCAGCGTGGCTCAGTGGTTGAGCATCAGCGTATGAACCAAGAGGTCACAGTTCAATTTCCAGTCAGGACTCATGCCCTCGTTTGCAGGCTCGATCCCCAGTTTGGGGTGTGCAGGAGACAGCTAACCGAGGATTCTTTCTTATCATTGATATTTCTATCTCTCTAACCTTACCCTTCCTCTCTGAAATCAATAAAATTAAAACAAAAACAAAAACCATCGGGGAAAAACTACATGACACTGAATTTGGTAAAAATATCTTAAGATATGCAAGGCAACAAAAGTAAAAGTAGATAAATTGGACTATGTCAGAACAAAATTTCTGTACCTCAAAGGACACAATTTACAGAGTGCAAAGGCTGCCCGTCGAATGAGAGAAAATATTTGCACACCCTATATCTGATAAGGAGTTATCATCCAGATTATGTAAAGAATTACAACTCAATAACAATGAAGACAACCTAATTTAAAAATGGGCAAAGAACTTGAATAGACATTTCTTCAAAGGAGATATACAAATGATCACTAAGCACATGAAAAGATGCTTAACATCACTAATCACTATAAAAATCCAAATCAAAACCATCTCACACCCATTAGAATGGCTACCATCAAACAAACAACAACAACAACAAAAACACACACAAAGAAACAGAAAATAACAAGTGCTGGAGAGGATGTGAAGAAATGGGACCCCTTGTATTAGTTGGGGAAAGAGTAAGTTGTGGAGGTGCTATAGAAAACAGTATGGCAATTTCTCAAACAAAAAAAGTAGAATCACCACGTGATCCAGAAAATTCCACTTCAGGGCATATATCCAAAAGAACAGAAAACAGGATATCAGATATTTGCGTACCAATTATTATGAAGCATTATTCAAAGTAGCCTAAAGGTAGAATCAATCAAAGGGTCCAGCCACAGATGAATGAATAAACCAAATGTTGTATATACAGACAATGAAATATTACTCATAGCCTTAAAAGGGAAGGAAATTCTGACACAGGCTACACCATGGATGAACCCTGGGGACATTGTGCTAAGTGAAATAAACCAATCATAAGGAATAAGTACTGTATGATTCCACTTATATGAAATAGTAACTAGAATAATCAGATTCATAGAGACAGAAGTAAAATGGTGGTTGTCTGTGGTTAGGGTCAGAGGGGATGGGGATTATTGTTTAATGGGTACAGAGTACAAAGTTTCAGTTTTGTAAGAAGGAAAGTCTTCTGGAGATGGATGGTGGTTGCACAACAATATAAACGTACTTAATGTCACTGAACTATACACTTAAAAATGGTTAAGATGGTAATTTTATGTTACATGTATTTTCCACAAATGTTAAAATTAATAAAATTTAAAAAAGTGTTGATGATGCACAACAGGAAATTTTGAACGTTAATTCATATAATGAATCCTGACATCAAATTTTGGTGTTAATAGGAATGGTAGCGGAATTATTTTGTAATGATATGACAGTTGAAGACAATAACATTCTAATTTATATCAGACTATGAATATAGCTTAATTTTTAGAAAAAGATATCTCATATATCAAAAATTGGATAGTAAGCAATTAAAATCTATCACATTTATAGATTAATAGATAAAAAACAAATTGAATCAATAAATTTAAAAATGTGTTTGTATAAAATGTAATAAATTTTCATAATTAAAAAAAAAAGTCTATTGCAGTGAAGTTCCAAATCCTCGTGACTCTTTTTTTTTTTTTCCTATCAAAGTATTCAAATACTCTTCTAATACTGCACCTATGGCATACTAATTAGAATGATCAGTGTATATGTCTGTCCCCACGACTGAAGAAGCATCATATAAATCCTTGTTACCCACGCACCAACTCAGTGCTATGAAAGGAGGTTCTAAGTAAATTCTGGCTGACGTGCTGGCTGAAAAACAGAAAGAAAAATTAGGCCCGAGCTGTGTATGCTTAGGTCTCAGAGCATATTTCTGAGCAGGTCTGAGGGTGGGCCGCCTTGAACTCTAAAAGGATACCCACTGGCTCTGAGCGGGGTGCAAGACGGAAGCTTTAAGTGTCACAGAAATTCTTCCTGCCTCTCCTTATGCCCCAGGTGCTAACTGAGAGGCCTGCAAGAGCCAGAGGCAAGAGGAAGAGGGAAAAGAAAGCAGGCTGAGGCTGAAGAAAAACAACCTCTAGGAGTTCCACCCTAAAGACAATCAGGACACGGTTGGCACAAGTCAGTCAAGAGAGGGGTCAGAACACTGTTACTGTAGGGCCAGAGAGTATTTCAAGCTTTGAGGGCCATGGAATCTGTCTCAGCTACTCCACCTTGTCATTGTGGTAAAAAAAAAAAAAAGCCACCGTAGACAATATGTAAATGAAAAAGTACTGCTGTGTTCTAATAAAAACTTATGTTTGAAAAGAAGTGGACCCAATTTGGTCCACGGATCATAGTTTCCAGACCTCCGGCCTAGTTCTTACTCCTCAAATACGGTTCAAGGATCAGCAGCATTGACGCCACAGGAGAGCTTGTTAGATCTGCACAATCCTAGACACCACCCAAGACCCTCGGAGTCAAAGTCTCATTTTACAAGATGCCCAGCAGAGCTTGCCCAGTGGGTCTGTGATCCACTTCAGCCTGAGCACTAAAATGCTGCAACAGCACAGGCCCAGCAGGAGTTTCGCTGAGTGCCTCCGTAATAAATCTGATCGAGGGCAGGAGAGCACTCCTTGCTGGCCCTGCCATACAGTCCGTTCTCCAAGTGGCTCTGAGCACCTTAGTGAAGACATCAAGACCCAGGGCAGGTCTGGAGAGAGGAGATCCTGTTTGGGAGAGCTGCCAATGAGACAGGTCTGTGGAGTCAGAGAAGTGAAGAACCCCAAACTCTGTGCCTCAGCCCTTCTCCCTGAGACCTCCCTTAGGAGTGGTTGGACAGCTCCAGGTAGCTCTGGCGGTTTTCCCTCTATTTAAGCCCTGGCCTGTTTGGCTCAATGGATAGAGCCTTGGCCTGCGGACTGAAGGGTCCCAGGTTCGATTCTAGCCAAGGGCACATGCCTGGGTTCTGGGCTGGATTTCCAGTGGGGGACGTGCAGGAGGCAGCCAATCAATGATTCTCTCTCATCTTTGATGTTTCTCTCTCTATCTCCTTCTCCATTCCTCTCTAAAATCAATAGAATATTTCTTAAAAAACAAACGAACAACAACAACAAAACATTATCACATCTCCTACTGTGATGGTTAATTTTATGAGTTAACTTGACTGGCCATAGGGCGTCCAGATCGAACATTATTTCTGGGTGTGTCTGTGAGGGTGTTTCCAGATGAGATTAGGATTTGAATCGATGAACTCACGAAAGTAGATGACCCTCGCCAGCGTGGTGGGCATCATCCAATCTGCTAAGAGCCGGCATAGATCCAAAGGTGGAGGAAGAGGGGATTTGCTCCTTGTTTCCTGCCTCACTATTTGGGCTGAGACATCCCATCTCATCTCATCTTCTCTGGCCCTCAGATTAGGCTTCAGGCCATCAGCTCCCCTGGCTCCCAGGCCTGTGGACTTGGACTTGTCAGCCTCTGTGATTACATGAGCCACTTCCTCATAATAAATCTACAGATAGCCCTAGCCAGTTTGGCTCAGTGGATAGAGCGTCAGCCTGCAGGCCAAAAGGTCCCGGCTTCAATTCTTATCAAGGGCACATGCAGGAGGCAATCAGTCGATGTATAATATCTCTCTCACTTTGATGTTTCTCTCTGTCTTTCCCTCTCTCCCATTCTCTCAAAAAATCAATGGAAAAATATCTTCGAGTGAGGATTAAAAAAATCACTATAAAATATACATATACAAAATCTCCATCCCATTGGTTCTGTTTCTCTGGAGAACCCTAATCAATACATCTGCCAATATAAAGGTAAGGGACATGGAGCACTGCTCCACCCCAAAGTGCAGTTTAGTGTTCTATTCCTCAAGGAAGCTCCTTGTCACTGGCTATAGCTCCTAAAACAGCGATTCACAACTTTGGGCATTTTTCCCCCCAGGGGACATCTGACAATGTCTGGAGACATTTTTGGTTGCCGCAATTGCAGTGATGGTTGATGTGGCATCTAGTGGGTAGGGAGCAAGGAGACTTCTAAACATCCTACAATGCATGATAGCTCCCCCACTCCCAACAAAGAACTGTCTGGCCCAAGATATTAGTATACTGAGGTTAAGAAACCCTGTTCTAGAACAAACATCATTACGTCACCGACCAGTCTAAGTGCCTTGGAGTGTTTGCGAGCCTCATGCACAACACCAATATAATCAGAAATGTGTCAGAGAGACGGGCTGCATGGCAGCTCCCAGCAGCCTTGATCAGGGCATCACAAATCCAAGCCCTGGGCCAGCAATTCAATGTTCCCAGTGACCAGAATGAACAGGCTCTGGGAAAACAACCAACATTAACCAAGCCCTCAAGAGAACAGAACATCAACCAGTACCAGCTTATTCATTCACTAGAGGCCCAATGCATGAATTTGCGCACAGGTAGGGTCCGGCCAGCCTGTCCCAATTGGAGCCAGTTGGGGCGGGGCCAGCTGGGGGAGGAGCTTTGGGAGGTTGGCTGGCCAGCCAAGCCCGCTGGTTGAACTCCCGGTCCGAGGGGACAATTTGCACTTCAGCCTTTTATTCTATAGGGTAACTGGAGAGCCACCTGCCTCAAGATTTAGATCAGGTCCTTCTGCACGCAATGTGACCCTGGGGATTATCTTGGTGAGGGCAAAATTAGGACTAAGGAGCTGTAGATTTCCAAAGCTGGGGCTTTCTTCTTCTCGTGACGGCCCCTTGGTTAATCTTACACTATTCTAGGGGAAAATCAGGTCTAGAGAAAACTCTAGGGAGAGTCAAACAGCATCGAAGCAAGCTCTCATTGGACAGAACCTACCAATTCTTATAAATCTTCTCTTCTGACAGATTCCTTTCATCTGTGACCCAAAGCTCCTTCACCCAATTATAATAACAAACTGCAACATGATTGAAAAAAGATGGCTGCTGTCCATGACTCACATCTCAGAATTTTGCCTTCCTGAACACATGCTGGTCTCCTTGATGAAAATAACAACCCATCCTATGGGTGCTGCCTTCTAGACTGAATGGCTAATTGCATGCATTTTATGCTATCTCTCACTGGCTTTCCTGTTAAAGATAACCTCATTTCCAGTGCTGCAAATCCATCTTCTCTGCATCCCATTTACATCGAGTGTAATCACTGAATGTATAAAATGAAATGTACCTCGTAATGAAACAGTTCATCTTAAGTTGCGGTATTAACAGTGAGCACCCCTGGTATGTAAGCCCCCATGCAGGGGGCTATCTTATGACATCATGGTGTATAGAGGCTGGTAAAAAATCTCATTACCCCCTAGTTCCCTGGGGAGAGGTGTGCTGTCAGGAACAGAAGAATCTGTGGTAAGAACAGTTCATCTCTGGTGACATTAGTATCCAGCAGTACAGGTTCCGAAACGTGGTTGGCCCCAGTTGGTTTCTCAGGCTCTGAAAGGAAACAGAAAAGGCACAACCATCAGAGGACATCACACGCCCAGGAGGTCACAGCACGTGTCAGACCTGGTGTCATTGTGAACCACTGAGCAGAGTGCCTTGGTGATGTTTGTCTGGATCCCTCTAGAGATGGAATGAGAGGGCAAAGCCCACTGCCAATTAAATCTGAAATCTGAACCAGACAGCCAGAGAAACCGACCTCCCAAGGCCATCGCAGAGAGGAAAGCAACAGGGTAGAAGATCAAAGACACATGCTTCCTTTTCCCTCCTGTCAGCCAAAACCCACAAAACCGCTAGCGTGGGATGCGTCCACATGGGCCCTCGTCAGTGAAGCCTGAGGCCGGCCTCTCTGAAACAGGAAGGGAGGGCACTCAGTTCCCAGAGAGCAATGCCCAGATGGGCCGTGAAACGAAGTCTCATGAAGTCTGTGTGGGCAGGAGAAACCTGGAAACGCCGACGTGTGGATTCCCGCAGCCTGTGCCTCTCATCCAGAAGTCTCAAGGCCTCTGCTCACCCAGCAAGGGAAGCCAGAGGGGCCTGTGGGAGGCCTGGGTCCCACCCAGACACACTCGTTCATTTGTCATCACTGCTTCCTGCTGACTCCCTCAGCATCCGACCGCTGATGGCTTGTTTGCGTCTTTGTAGGTATTTAACCCCGCTGCCTCTGCCTCACAAGGACCTGTGGCACCTTCCTATCTCCATGGCACCGGTGAAGAAATGAAGGAAGGGAATCTTGCATGATACCACGACACCAGCAACCAGAGAGAGTTGGACCTGCATTCCCACCATTTGCCCACCGTCCAGAACTGAAATATCATTGCTGACATGTACACATAAGGAACTGTTTGACACTGAAATTGGGTCTCAAAAGAACTGGTGGCCCAGAAAGAAGCTCACTACAGACTGATGCATATGCCTTTCAGCGTAACGATTATTGCTTGTCTCATTTTTGACTCTTATAAGTATATTGCCAGTAGGACATGATCTCACTCATCTAGGGGAAATGGTGAACAACATAGACTGATGAACAAGAACAGACCCAGAGACAAGGAGGCATGGGTCAGACTGTTGGACCTCAAAGGCAGGGTGGGGATAAAAGGGAGAGATCAACCAAAGGACTTATGTGCATACGTGTGAGCCTAACCAGTGGTCAAGGACTATAGGGGGGTGGGGGCATGAGGGGGAGGGGGGGATTGGAATGGGGGGTGAGGACAAATATGTGATACCTTAATCAATAAAGAAATTTTAAAAAATAATAATAAAAATTAATAAAAAAAAAAATGAAGGAAACTGGCAGCACAGCCCTGGTCATTCTTTGGAGACGTGTGCACCAAACGTGTGGCAGCAGCTCTCCGAGCCGTGCTCACCCTCCACTCCACCCGAAGAAAAACCGCCCTAAGGACTGACCCCAGCGTGGCCACACGGAGTCTGAGATGCAAGGGCTTCCGTGGAAAATGGCTCCCACAGCACAGGATGGAAAGAGGATGCACGTGGCCCCCAACTGAGCAGAGGGAAACCCGATTTTCTCCACGGGTCTGACAAACACCTGTGGATGACACATCCAACGTGCTGGCCCGCCAGCTGCTCAGCTCCCTTGGCTCGGCCAACCTCCACCCCCCCCCCCCCAGCCCATTGCAGCAAACCATTTCCAGGGGCATATCCTGGACCATGTCGTCACCTGCAAAGTGCTGACTCTGGAGTTGGGGTTGTGAACTCCTTCGGGACAGAGACTGTGTTTTTGTTCATCTCTGTGTTCTCAGATTCCCCCACAGTAAGTGCCCAGAGCTGGTGTTGAGTGACTGTTGATGAATGAATGACTTACGCTTAGAAATCCCATTCTCCAACCAGAACCTCCCATCCTTCTGCTTTTCACTCCTGGAATCAAAGTAAACACACTCCCAACCTGTCTGAGATCTCGGGCTCCTTATACTCTCCAGCTCACCCAGGATAAAGTCTCATTCTACAATCACTTTTCTCTGCACAGCCTGCCTACTGTAACTACACCACACTCACTCTTACCCGGACCTTTCTGCTGCCTTCCCCCGACCCCCCAGCCTAAGCACAGGACCCCTCCAGCCCTCATTGCCCACTTTACTGCCCACAGGCTGAGTATTTCTGAAAAAAAAAAAAAAAAAAGATCATTCTTACTAGCATCATTGCAAACGTTTGGCTTATATCCTCAGTGAGGGCCTTGTGTTACTAGGAACTAATGGAACAGAGCAGAGAACCCAGACACAGGCCCACAAAACTATGCCCAACTGATATTGGACAAAGGTGCAAAAGCAATTCAATAGAGGAAAGACAGCCCTTTCCACAAATGGTGCTGGAGCATCCATAGGCAAAAAAAAGTAAGCCTCAATCTAAGTCTCACACCTTATATAAAATTAACTCAGAATGGACCAAAATGTGTAATGTAAAACTATGTAACTTTGTGGGGGGGGCGGGGAATAGGAGAAAACGTTTGGGACCTAGAGCTGGACAAAGAATTCATAGACTTGACACCAAAATCACAATCCAAAACAGGAAAAATTGATAATTTGGACTTCATAAAAATTAAAAACATTTCACCTGTGTTAAGAGGATGAAAAAGACAAGCTATAGAGTGGGGGGAAATACAGGGGTGGGCAAATGTAGGTTTATAATTGTGAGTACACGAAAGACAGAGTTAATAAAACTATTCTGAGCATCATAACCTGCATGTCTTTTTCCATACGAATGACTGTCCACTTTTGCCCACTTCTACTTGCAAATCATACCTACTAAAGGGAAAAGTATCCAAAATATATAAAGAGCCTTCGAAACTCAACATGAAAAGAGTAAACAACCCATTTAGAATAGGGACAAAGTCGTGAATAAACAGTTCACAGAAGATATACATGTAGCAAATAAGCACATGACAATATATGCAACATCATTAGTCACTAGGAAAATGCAAATTATAACCATACTGAGATACTACTACATACCTATCAAAATGGCTAAACTAGAAACTAACACCTCGAAATATTGACAAGGATGTGGAGAAACCGTATCATCCATACATCGCTGGTGGGAATGTAAAAAACAAACAAACAAAAAAAACACACAAAAAAAAACACAGCTATTCTGGAAAAGTCTGGCATTTAAAAAAAACAAAAAACAAAAAATTAGACATGAGATTATCATGCAACCTAGCAATTGCGTTTTGGGGATTTGTCCCAGAGAAATGAAGATTTGTCTGCATAAAACCCACAGATATTTATAGCAGTTTTATTTGGAATAGCCCCAAACTGGAAACAACTCAAAGTTCCTTCAATGGGTGAATATTCAAATAAACTGTGGTATATCCACACCATGGTACACTACTCAGCAAGAAAAAAGGGAACATACATTTCACACATGCAACAGCATGAATGAATCTCTAAAAAAATTATGCTGAGTGAAAAGATTTAATCCCGGAAGGTCGCATATTGTATGAGTTCGTTTATACAACAGTCTTGAAATGTCAAAATTATAGAAATGGGAACAAATGAGTGGTTTCTAACGTGGTAACAAATGAGGAGTTAAGGAAAGAGTGGGATTAGAAGGGGAGGTAGGGTAGCTATAAAAAGGCAACAGAGAGATCTTTGTGATGAAGGAACTGTTGACTCTATCAAGGTCAAATTACAGTTGTAATATTGTACTATAATTTTTCAAGTTGTTACTATTAGGGAAACTGGTTAAATGGAACATAGGATCTTTATATTGACTCTTGTAAATGCATGTATCTCTGAAATTATCTCCCCCACCAAAAAAAGTCTAATTAAAAACACGTGTGCTTGATCTCCAGAGTCATTCAGAATCATTACCTTCGCATTAAAGTTTAAAAAGCATTCATCTAGCCGAAACCGGTTTGGCTCAGTGGATAGAGCATCAGGCTGTGGACTGAAAGGTCCTGTGTTCGATTCCATTCAAGGGCATGTACCTTGGTTGCAGGCACATCCCCAGTAGGGGTATGCAAGAGGCAGCTGATTGATGATTCTCTCATCGATGTTTCTAACTCTCTATCCTTCTCTCTTCCTCTCTGTAAAAAATCAATAATATATATATATATATATATTTTTTTTTTTTAAAAAGCATTCATCTAGAATACTCAACCAGGATGTCAGGGGAAACTCAAAATTCATGTTCAGGAGGAGCAGTTGAAGGGAAGAGAACATTTCATCTTGGGAAATCTTGGAGATGATGAAAGTTTTCCTTTTCCAGCACCTGCCGGGATTAAACAGGAGGGGGTCCGCTTGGTTTGTGCGGCACCGGGAGACGGAGAGGCTGATGTAGGGGAAAGGGCACACGCTTCAGGAGTGATCAGGCCTGAGCTTAACCCCAAGTGCCGCTATTTCCTATGTTAAGCCTGGGCAAGCCAGTTAACACTGGCCCTCTGTTTTCTTGTCAGAACACCAGGCTTGTGATTTCTATCTCAATCCATCAATCAGCGGCTAAAGCAGGGAAACAGAAACTGTGCCAAGTAGTTGCAAAAGAAGGAATGTGGTGCGGGGAACTGATTGCAGTGATAAAGATAGAAGTACATGTGGAAGGTGATAGAGAAGCTGAGATTTGCAGATTTCTGCGACGATGGCAAAACCAAGAGTTTAAAGATCTCCAACTGGGATGGCTTTAAAAAGACAGATTCGTTGGAGTAAGGTTGCACAGGATAGGACCTTGAGGTAATCCACAGATTAGCAATAACAAGCAGCAGGCGGCTGAAGGAACAAAGGGAGGGGGTGGTGTTACCCAGGAGCCGGGGTCATCAGGTAAGATGGAGACTCAAACAGTGGGAGCTGGAGCCATGGAGAGGCAGTCGATAATGGGAGGAGATGCTCCATGAAGAGAAAGAGGGAGGATGTGCTCTACCTTCCTCCCTCCCTCTAAACTAGGGGTGTCGAACTCAATTAGAGAAGGGGCCAAAATCTAAAATCCAGCCTAAATCGCGGGCCGAATGGTTTACTGAACAGTCATAAACTGTCATTGTGATGGAA